TGACCATGTCGTGAGCAGATCATTCATCTTGAACTTTTTACAAGAACTGGTCCTCCAGGATATAATGATAATGTAGTTAATTTCTTTAGGCATATGATTTTGCCCAAGGTATAAGCCAATAAATGAAGCTAGTAAATGCACTAGTATTGAATTGAAGTGTTGATATTCTTTTCTCCAATAATATAATAATTCTATGTTTGAGGTGTATTTTATTTTTCTGTGAGCATATTGCATGTAATTCTCTTTTCTTCAACCATTTACCGACTTATTTTTGGGCTGCAGCCATTATGCTAAGCAGCACTGTCTCCCCCCCCCCCCTCCCCCCCCCCTTTTTTCTTTTTGGGGGCATTGGTTGATGTGTCTGTGCAAGGAGAGAGCCTTCGAGGTTTCTCTACATATGAGATTGTGTTTTGTTCTTCTAGGGTCTCAAATAAAGAAAATGTTCCAACTTCCTGATCACAAATCATTTTCCGAAGTGCACAACACTTCAATAACGCTGCATATATTTCAGGTCAATGATCCACCAGTGCAAAATTCTCAGGAAGCTTTCATGATGGAGATGCGTGCAGCCAGAATGGTAAGAGCTTATTCTGGTTTTTAGTAAATGCATACATAAATATGCACAGTGAAGATTCATCTGCAAATATGTTTTTCAAAGTATTTAGTCAAATGAAAAATCGCTAACATGCCCATGTCTTTTACATCTCCAACCCGAAAACTAGGAGCAAAATTTTTTCAGTTCTTTTGTGTTTTTGCATCAAACGCCTATATCATGTTTGGCATTTGTAATTTTTATAGTTAAATCCTCTATTTTCATGTGGCTAATTGCAAGTATTAACAAATAGATTCAGGTAGCTGACTCGCTGCTTAAATCGATGTCTGAATTGAAGCAGACTGCAATTTTCTCGGGTTTTGCTTCTCTTAACGATCATGTTGACCAGAGAACTGAAGAGTTCGATATACTCGCAGAAAAAACAAATGACACTTGGCAAGAATCGGAGAAGAGGCAATCGCTAACCTTAAGGAGCTCAAGTCATATTATTACTCATCCACGTTGAGAACAAGCATTCTTCTTGAGCCCTGTATAAGGTGGAGGAACTTATGCTAGATTTAATTTCTTTTAAGAGTTTTGCTAAAGTGATCGGGATTCACTAGAGAGGGGAGCCCACGCCCAATATAAAGCAAAACCCTTCTTTTATGTATAATGCTACTTGCACCTCAGCCCCTGTTTAATGGTCCTATCATCAGCCTTGTTCAAGTAACACGGTTAAGAAAGTGAACTACGCTTCTGAATCTATTAATGTGCATAAAATGATTAGGCTGCTGATTTGATACTTTTCTGATGTATATTGTCTATTTGGAGTTTGCATTGACTTTTTTGGTATGATGTACGAGGTTCGATTGAACCATTTTTTAGTGAGATGTTTGGTTGTTCCCGAGCTAGTTTTACTTCTCTGTTCCAGTCATGGGTGGACCCACATGGGTTCATATGGGGTCAAATGACCTCACATTTTTCTTAATCCGTAGTCGTTTCTTTCATGGAGTACTTTGACGCGCTCGTTACGGAATGTCAAACGAAGTCGAAATATTGCATAATTAATATCATTTCGAAGTATTCACAACCTAGTTTTTCGCTCATTAGTACGCTTGAAATGGTCAACCGTAACAAAAGATATGGCGTTTCAAAGTAGGTCATTCCAAATTAGTATTTCGAAAATTTTGATAATTTGCTAACTTTAAAAGTTCGTCGATAATCGTACTTTAGCCGAATCTACAAACCGTCTACGTCATCTAGAAGCTAGTTTAGAAAATTACATCATAGTCATATCGAGTTGTCCAAATGTATATCGAAAATAGTTAAATCTCTAAAAAAGATGTCAAACTCGTCTTTCTTTTAAAAAAATTTAATTATTTCATTAACGTTGATTATTTTTGCACAAAAAAATCTTAATATAATTTACATCGTTTTAGTAGCAAATTCTACGTGGATTATGTTGTAAAAAAATTTAGGATCATTATAAATAAAATGTAATTTAAATTACTTTCGAATTAAATTTGAATTTCATCTACTTCGGAAATTGAATTTGAAATTTTATTTCAATTCATTTACTTCCTACATTCAACTTGATTTACTCACCATCGGCTCAAGATTTGACAACGAGGTGGTAAACAAAATTATAAAAGTAACAAAATTCATTTGACAATATTGATAATGATAGAATTATATGATGTTTTCAAAATATCAAGATGCATAGACTACAATTGTAATAGTGTATTATCTTTTTTTTTTATTAATATTATGTTGTTTTAAAAAAATTATATTTTAATTTTTTACCCCACAAGTCTGAGTCTATCATCGATTCTAGTTGAGATCAATATTAGAAATGTATTTTATCCTATCGTAAACTTGTCCGTATTAAAGAAGCGCAAAGTACGTTTTGGGTCAGAATTTCGATCTAACTCCTGGTAATATTTTAGTGCAATGCTTGATTGAGCTTTAATAAGAATTTTGTGATTTAAATCCATTTTTTGTCAAAGATAAATTTGAAAGGGAACAATACATAACTCAGACCTAAACATAACCCTAATTCAGTTTTAAGAGAAAAGGTTTAAAATTGCAAACTCATGTGGTAATTAATAAATATAATATAAAATAAATTCTAACAAATATAAATCCTAAAATAACGCTTCAGTTACCATATTTTACAAAACAACAAATCTGGAAGACCAAGCAAAGTACAAAAGCAACAGAGACCTCTTTGGAGCAAATTGCCACCGTTGGGATCTGATTGTTTGAAAATTATCAAACTATTATGATCACAAATTGAAAGCCATCAGAAGAACGAACAAAGATAGAATCTATAGAGTATTCATCGGAGCAAATAACTTCGATTCTCAACTTCGAAATCTGGTTAATTGGAAGTTGTTGACACTGTGTACTAAAAGATTGAAACAAGAAAAGAATTTACAAAGAACTCGTCGAAGCAAATTACTTCAATTCTCACTGTCAAAATCTGTTTAATTGAAATCCGTTAGACATTTGCACTCACAAATCAAAAGTTATCGGCACTATGTATCAGAATTTTTGAAGGCAACGATCGAGAAATCAATAGCATGTGACTAGTTCTTTTGAATTTGTGCCTGTGATCTATTACATGTCACCTGTAAAATGTGATATTGATCCAATGGTCCATGACTAGTTCTCTTGGATCTGTGGTTAGTGGACATTACATATTCAATATGACATGTGACTTATGAACCATTATTTGAAACCTATAACATATGAGCTGTAATATGTAAACTTAAATCTATTACCTATTATCAGTGCATGAAAACATACGACTCTGATATATGACCAATTAATTTTGATCTGTGACTTATTGGCATTGATTTATGACCTATATAATATGATCTGTGAAGTGTGATATGTGATATGTGACTTGTGAACATAAATTAGTTGTTGTGACTAGTTGGGCACGTGACATCTGATCCATGACCAGTTAATTTTGATATGTGATTTGTTGACATTATTTTGTGGCCCATACAATAAGATCTTAAAGTGTGACCTGTGAATTATAACATGTGACCTATAAACATAAGTCGGTGATTTGTGATCAATTCCATTTGATCTGTGATATGTGGACGTTGAGTTGTAATCTATATGACCTTTGACCTGTGAACAAATAGTAAGTCACGATGATAAATTTAATCACAATCTTACATTTTTTTAGGTCACATATTATTTATTGATCGTAAATTATCTATTTTGTTGATCATATATTATTTATAGGTCACAAATTAAACTAATTTATTGGTCACGACTCGTCTTTATACAATCTCAACCCTACCAAAAACCAGCACCAAACCACCATTAGCATTGCAACCACCAGAACCACCACCACCATCGAGTCGCATATTATTTATTGATCGTAAATTATCTATTTTGTTGATCATTTATTATTTATAGGTTATAAATTAACCTAATTTATTGGTCACACCTCGTCTTTATAAAATCTCAACACTACCAAAAACCAACACCATAACCACCACTAGAACCGCAACCACTAGAACCACCGCCACCGCCATCGCCACCGCCATCGCCATCGCCAACACCCATAGTGCATTGAATCATGATACTACCCATAAAAGCCACCAACAAACTACCCAAAACACACATGACATCTAAACAAGACAAATAATAAGCCCACAAAATAGGAAACGCGCGCCACCATTATCACCAATCACCACAACTATCATCGATCACTGCTAATGTTGACATCCCAAAATTGAAACCTACATAACTCGGATTGCTAGTATAAAGCTCCCAGAGGATAAAGATTCTAACTGTCTCAATGAAGCCTTCTCGATTGCCGTTGATTACAACAACTTTGAAGTCACCACTGACGATGAGAGGTTGTCCGCTAATTGGCCGTAATTTATCTTGATGAACTACACTGACTCTAGAAAAACTAAATAAACAGAAATCTCCCTTCATTACATCACTGCGTGCAGCCAAGCATCGTTGTGTGAGGCTCTGAGTGACACCAAATGGGATGGGTAGGTAGAGAGAGAAAGGAGAAAATAGATAATACAGAGCGAGTTTGAGAATAGGTTTTGGGTGGTGGCCAACTACTAGATTTGGGAGAGAGGAGAAAGAAGAGAGGAAAATGAGGGATTGATAGTGTTGGTGGGGCGGGGCGGGGCGGGGCGGGGCGATAGGTTATGATTTATATTAATATTAAAAAGTTGAATTACTGCCTGATTTTTGAATAAGTAAATATTAATCTTTATTTTTGAAATGTAATATTTAAGTACCTGCCACCTTGTAACTTTCATAATTCCCAATACACTCTTAAATTACCTAAAGGGTAAATTAGGCCAAATACACTCTTAAATTAACTAAATTGAATAATAACCTTATAAAACTAATTAAACCATTCAACCCGTAATTAATACATTCAATCCAAACTTCATTCAGTAAAAAAACGCTCTCCTTCTACTCAAAATTACTTTCTTTTTTCTTTCTTTTCCTTTCGAGGCCCATTTCGTTCTCTCTCAACAATTCCTAATCAATTTTCAAACCTTAGAAAGTATTTATCCCTTTCGATCAAGTAAAATCACGATCATTTAAAAAATGGAGAACCAAAGGCTGAAGCAGCAGCAGCAGGCGTTGATGGAATAGGCTCTCTTTCAACAACAATCTCTTTATCATCTAGCTTTTTAGCTGTTGCTCCCCTGGTTTAACTTATTCACTTTATTTTTGTTTGAATATTCATCATTTTTTGTTAACTGCATTTGCTGAAGTTCTCCACATATTGCGAACTTTCAATAGTGATTTAAGAAAATGGAATCTTTTTAAACCGGTCAATTCTTGTGTTCTCATGACTATCAATTATTTTATTGCGTTTTTCTACTTTGCAATTGCAACATGCCAATGAATTTGAGATTGATGATTGTTAGTCGCTCTGCTGGGATTTCCATTTTGTTTATCTTAATTTTGCATCAGCTTCCTTTCTAAAAGCAACTTATTGTTTTTAAAATTTGCATTTTTTTTTATAGTTGAAATCATTGTCTAATGGTTGGGCATAGAATTTTCGAATTCTTTTTTTGAATTTATAGCTTGTGCCATAATTTTCTGAGAATATGTAGTCCCATGTTGGTCCTTTTTTCTGGGTATTTTTTTATGCCAATGTCTGTCTGCACATAGTAATGTTCTTTGTAATCTGTGACTTCCACCATTCACACACTTTCCTTCTATTTTCCTTAGTTCGATATTCATTTTCATCTGGAATCTTGTAATGATATGTATTTGTCTTTGACCCAACAAGCTTAATATGTTTTTGGATTATCTTGTTATGTAGGTAAAATTCATTTTTCACCATTATTAGTATATCTCCACCTAGCCAGGCATTATGTAAACAATTGATGGAATATCAATATGGTGAAAAATCAGAATTAAGGAGTCATTGTGGACATAATTCATGTATTGAGAGCATAAGCATGGGAGTTCCAATAACAACTTGGCCGGTGCATTTAAATCAACCTAGAAATGTCGTGCTAATAACAAAAGTACTGAAAATCATTGTGGAAGTACGGAACTGGACACATAGCAAGTTTCGCTGTCACCTACTGTGGTAGAGAAGGCTGTAAAAAGATTGATGGATTCAACAAGAGGAGAAGAGATGCAAAAGAGGACAGCAAAATTAAGAGATGTCGTAAAGTAATTTGTGATGGAAGGTAGTGCCACTCGCAAGGAGATTGATTCCTTTATTGCTCATATAACTGGACAACATCTTTCATCTGAAATCTAGAGATCTTTGATTATCATTGTTGCAAGGTATAATCTGTCATTTTCAAGAATATTAAGTTATTTGAGAATTTTCCTTTTGTCGTTCTAAGTTACTTGAACTCCTTGCAAATTTTACTTTGCAATTATTGTTAGTTCTTCTTAGATGGTGCAATTTTGGTGTTTCTCACTTTTAAAAAATAAAATAAAATTTGTCATTTTTTTTGAGTTTGTGTAACTTTTATTTGAATCGAGTGACTTTTTTTTTAAAAAAAAGTGACAATTTATATAAGAAAGTAATATTGTGTCACTCCTTAATTTTACACATTATTTTTTACTTCCAAAAAACTTGTTTTAAGTTTGTAACCTTTCAAATTTTTGTCGATTTTTTATCTTCTTGAAAAAAGTGACATGATACGTGATATTTTCCTAACATGATCAACATGTGGATTGTGTTAATAACTAACACTACGCTCACGTGGATTGTCCTTAAGATGCTGAGTATGTTAAGAACATAATTATTAGTACTATACAAATCGATTGTGTTATTTTGGTGTTTGTCACTTTTTTGAATTCTGTCAATTTTGAAGTGTTTGTCTCCTTTTTTTTTTTTTTTTAGTTTTGTCACTTTTTGAGTGTTTGAATCATTTTTAAAAAAAAAATTGTTACTTTTTTTGAGTTTGTATCACTTTTTTGAATTGTGAAAAAAGTGACTTTTAATTTTACACAGTATTTTTTAATTTCAAAAAACTTTTTCATATAATTTTTTAAAATACTTTTAATTTTAAGGGTATTTTTGTAAGTTTCCATTGAAAATTTGATAAGCCTGTAGCCCGCTCCTGGTGAGTTGAACAATGCGGGCCAAAAGGCCCAAATCGTAGAGATTTATCTGATAGCCCAATCCGATTAAAAGCCGAATTCTAAAAGACTTCATGCCACGTCTTCACTTCTCTCCATACGCCATTGGTCGGTGTCTCCCAGGCGTTCCATGTAGACACGATTCCATTACTTATCTTCTTCATCATCTGAATTTCAACATTCAATTCATATTCGTAAAAAAATTCATCGTTTCGGAGAATTTCCACAAAATTTAGAGTAATCATGAAATCCAAACTTCAAAACTTCCAAATTTTCATTCAATCGGCAGATCTCCAGATCCCCACCCGTGCCTTAATTTTGCAAAACCCTAACCCTAACACAAATTTCACTGTCCACCACCTCAAATCCGACCTTGTTTCTAGAACGAGAATTTCTCCGAAATCCCTTTTCTTCAGCCTTAATGGAAAGCTCCTCGTTGATTCTACTCCCCTGTTTCAAAATCCACAAATTGGTCCCCTCTCCACTCTGACCGTCCATCTGCGACATAATGGTGGTGGTGGAGATGGTGGCGCTACCGGGGCTGAGTCGCGTGACTGTTATTTGAATATGTATGCTGTTAAAAAGCCCGATAAGGTTGACCCTAATGAGATGCGGCTGTCAAAGTGGTTAAATTGTAGTTTATCAAATGAGCCGCTGAAACACCCAGTAGTTATTGATAAGTTAGGGAATTTGTTTAACAAAGAGGCGTTGGTGGAGACTTTATTGAAGAAAAATTTGCCCAGAGAGTTTGGATATATAAAGGGTTTGAAGGATATGATTGCAGTCGAGCTGGCTGAGGCTCCAGGGATTAGAGAGAAGGGGGCAGTGAAATTTCAGTGCCCTATAACGGGGCTGGAATTTAATGGGAAATACAAGTTTTTCACGATAAAAAGTTGTGGGCATGTATTGAGTGCCAAGGCGTTGAAGGAGGTAAAGTCATCTGCGTGTTTGGTTTGTCACAAGGAGTTCACAGAAAGTGATAAGATTGTGATCAATGGGAACGAAGAGGAAGTGAAGGCATTGAGAGAGAAGATTGAAGAAGAGGCAAAATTGAAAGATAATAACAAGAAATCGAAGAAAGTGAAGAATGGGGTTGCGAATGGAGAGTTTGGACGTCTGATAGGTACAAAACATGGGATTGAAGGGAATGTTATTAACCATAATAACGGTTCCTCCAAGAGGTTCAAGGCAGCGGATATGGCCCCTGCAAATGCAACCAAGGAGGTGTATGCATCAATTTTTACTTCGTCAAAGAAGAAAGATTTCAAGGAGACGTATTCTTGTAGATCATTACCTCTTGGTAGAAACTGATGAGGTGGTACACATGAGCTGATTTTATAGTAAATCAAACTATTTGTCTTGTATATCTGTTGCTTGTGACCTGGAAGAGCTGTTGAGTGTTGGATTGTTATGTCCTTTGTTAAAAGACTGATTGTGTTTCTATGGAATTTTCTTGTTTGTTTTGTTTACCATAAAGATGATTGTGGTTCGTTAATTTGATTTTGAATTATAAAAATTGTTTTGTTGCAAGTTCATTTTTAATCCTTTCCCCTCCTTTTTAAACTTTTGGTAGCCTTTTTTCTGTTGATTTTTCTCATTGATGAATAACAACCTCATGTTTTGTGTGACTCCCTGTGTTGGAATACTATGAAGAGAAGAGATAAGGTCTTTTGCTTCATTTAGTATATAATCGAACATATGGAGGAATTGTAGGGGTGATTTTTCCCGTGTACAGTGTTGTGTCCCAATGAAATGACTTCTAAATCTAGAAGTCCACTTGCAGTAATAAGTGTTTGGTGATTTGTCACCTTGAATTCAGTTCCTTTAAAATTGAGGCAGGCAGTTTTATAATCATTTCACCGAGCACATAATGCCATTGGAATGTTTGGGATGCTGATACAGTAAAGTGCATACTTGAAATGGATTGATCTTGAAAGAAGTTGGGCCATATTGTCTTGTCTTGGAGTAAGTAAATGAACAATTTTAGAATGTTTCATGAGCCCAATTCCAATGAGATTATAGAAATAAAGCCTCTTCCTTTTATTTGAAGGCCATTATGAGTGTAACCTTTTTATATATACTGTGTGAGCAAATGAGTTGCCTTTTGTTCTCATGTTCTACAGACAAATAGATCCTGCAATAAATTTGTTTACTTGGATTTGCCCTTCAATGGATATGTAGCTGTTTTATGTACATGAGATGAGAAGTTGTGAGTTATATAGTTATGAAATTTTATTTAGGAGTGTACTCATGGTTCTTGCTTTTGCAGTGATATAAGTTGTCAAAACCTTAATTTATGGTTGATGAAATGTTTGTATTGCATTTTATTCTACTGTTATATGTTGCTGCCAATTCAATTAAGAAATTTTAAATTGTTCTTTGGCAAAGAAGTCCATCTTGTGAAGACACTTGCAGATCAATGCTGCTTGTTCGAATCTGATGAGCTTGTAACATATCCGATGGCTAATTCCTTTGGCATTTAGAGGCTGCCGTTAATGGAATAGCTTCAGCGCTAGATATTTTGTCCTGGCCCCCTAGGCATTCTGGTTTGTGACTTGTAACGATAATTCTTTATTGATGTCACCTATTAGTTCTGACCTCTCAATCAAGATTGCCTATTAGCATTGCTTTGTAACAAGGTGCCCATGTTTTCTTGACTTCTGATAAGTTTGCAGAACGTTTAGGTGTTGCTCAATTGTTATCGTGGTGACTTCATTAGTGAGGATTGTGTAGTGCCTATACAGCATTAGAATCTACTGAAGAGCTAAATTTATTTTTCTAAGCCGGTTTACCTATTTGTCTTGTGTTGGCCTTGTTGTTATTATTATTTTTAAATGATGCGCAATTTCACCATCAGTAAGTCATGTTTGTTTTGCGGCCATTTTGCAAAGCTCTCTTCGTTTACCTTGAAACTCAGTTGCCTTTATGGCCAAAATCATAGTTTGCAATGTTTGATGTTATATGTTCTCAAGAAGGCCTTGTGGTTGGAACAGGGAATTATCCATAAGCATAAAAAGAAAAGCGGTTCATCTTCATCAAGATGGCAGTGGATTGAAATGGTGATTCATCAAGATGGCAGTGGATTGAAATGGTGACTACTAGTAGACGACAACTAATGGAGATAGCTACCTTCTTTGTGCTGACTAATCGGTTGCATTGCTCTTTCTACTGCCTTCGGATCTAGAGCAGGCGGATGCTCCCAGAATAATTGAAGCCTTGACCTCGTCTCAAACTGAAGAAGGAGATGTCTAAGTTCAGAAAAATAAGGAAAATGAGGTTTTACAGTCTATATGGCACAGTGGTTGTGAGTATAATTTGTTTTAGAAAGACTTGTTATTAAAAATTTATTTACGATATTTTGGTTGGCAACATTAAAAGTGAGTATTTGGAAGTTTATATTATATATTAGTTGATTAAACATTAATTTTTTTTTCATAATTTTTTTTATTTCACAAATAATATTTTTATTTTAATTAAATTATCACAACATAGCTACTTTAATATACATAATACATTGAGTAGAATGTTTAGTCGATGTCTTCACCATTTTCAAACTGAAATGCTAAAATAATTATGTCGGGAAATGAAAATCATTCTTTCACTGAGAAAACTCTTTGTCATGTCGATAAGTTCGATAGGATTAATATTGTTAGAAAAATCTAACATTGCATGTAGTGGTTGTGTCTGTCATTCATGAAAAAGGACTTCATCTAATACTTTTGAATATTAACTTGATTTTTTAAAAAAAAAATAAAATTAATTTAACAATGAAATAATATTCTAAACTGTATTGGGAACGGAAAAATGAAGGGAATTTTACCTTCTCCCACAAAAAAACTCATAACACCCACACCATTCGTAATTCCATCAAATTACTCATCGATCAAAAAATGAGTTAGTTGGGCTAAGTCATCTTACAGTCCCAGTTAAGGATGTTGTATAAAAAGCATGATTATAAACACATAAGAACTCTTGAATGGAAATGAAAAAGAGATGTAATTTCAGTTACTTCGGAATAGTTAGTCAATCCTATTTTCGATAAAGGTAGATGACAATTTAATCCGATTTTCACCATTATTTTCATATCCGTTATAGTGCGAAAAGAAGGCCAAGTTCCAAGTTGTTCAAGAATAGTGGCGTTGAGTTTTTTGACCCTTTGACTTAGGATTAGTCAGTTATCTACTATGTAATATTCCTCTGTGATTAAATGAACCACCAATCCTATCTTTATTTCTTGTTGTAAAAGCTTTTTTATTTATTATCTTTTCTAAACCAGAATTCAGGTCATATGGATATATATTTATTAGATTAAACATTAATTCTCGCTTCAGGAAATCACCAATTTATGTATGTAAAGTATCATCGTAATCACTATTTAGATATCAGAGATATATAGAAAGCCAGCAACTAGGGAAATGGATCCATTTAAAATTGACCGGTACAACAAGCATTATATCTTTCGTGCCATTTGTTTGGCTTGGCTCTAGGCACCATTTTTTTCCCTAATCATGCCTGTTGTATCATTTGTTTGTACTGTCCAAAATTACATAATTATCTTACCTCCATTGATCAGAGAGTAATGTATGAATTTTGATAAGCTTAAGATATGTCCATCTTCTACGAGGACTGAGCTATACTTTAGAAACATAAGATTAATCAACCAAGCTTGCAAATGAACTGTAAATGAAAAAAAAAAGTCAAATATCCTGTGAACTTCAAAATTGTTCACTGAAATCACTTGCACACATTTGCTTAACTAACTCGTATTGAGGCTCCATTTATGGACACTTCCTTTTCGTACTTTTTTCCTATTTTAGATAATAAGTAGGATAAATGAAAATAATAAGTGTTACCCAAAAACAATTTTCCTTCATTTGGATTCATGGAGAAATACAAATGAAGTAAAAATTAAACTATAGAAGGGTAAAAGGACTATTTCAAGTGTTGCAAGCTTGCCATATTTCGCAGTGCACTAGCCTTGCCTATGCACACAGGTAACAGGTTAGACTTTAAAAGTGCTTTTCTTTTTCCGCATGATACCACAAAGACAGAAACCTGACGATGGCATGTAAGCGTTTTCTTATGAAATTAAATTAAGCAGGTTAAGCAATTCAAGAATAATATTAGTTTGCTCAAGATGGTGAAAACAGCTATGTTACTGTAAAACTCACAGCTAGATAGGTTTGAAGAGCCGAAGGTATTCGTCACACTTTTGTCTGGTTCTGAATTTTTTTTTTTTTCCCTTTTTGAAAATAGAATTAGTGCATGGAGACTATATAGTTGTTTAGATTCTCAGTTCATCAGGAAATAGCTTTGGTGGTATAGTAAGTAATAAATTCACAGGTATATTGTTAATTATTTTTGGGAAATTTAACAGCTAATGGCTATAAATAAGCCTATGACTGAATAGAAAAAGAAAACTGGTGGAAGCAATAGGATTAATTCCATTGCCTTGCTCGTTTGGGTGTCATCCATTCTTCTTTGTGGGTTTTATTCTTGTTCTAACATGCTTATTTGTATTGGGATGGCTTCCCTATACCGTATCCCTTATTATTATTTATTTTTTTATTATAATATATATATATATATTTTTTTTTTGGGTTTAATCACGAAGTTATTGGGTTCTTGTTCTGTATGTTCCCCCTGAAGTGTTTCAACATTCCACCTAACTTTTGTCTGTCAATACCATGTTAAACCACCTTGTTTAAAAGTTTTAAATTGTTTGAGTGGAAATTTATTTGTCCAAATTTTTGTCTTGGTGTCTGAACCATTTATTTATTATCGCAAATTGTTTGATACATGTACTTTCCGTTTTCTTAATTTCCCATTCTGCTTTCTTCTACAGTAGAGAATTAGAGATAAGTGTGTTATTTCATTTTCCTGCTGGGATGTTGGCCGAGATGGTAAGTAAATTGAATCATGCTATGAGTACAACATTATTCACATCATGGTTTACAGCACACACACAATAATCGTGGACCCCACTTACAAGAGAGGACTGTAATTGTACAGTCCTACATGGACTGTACAAACAAGAATACCCAGTGTAGGACTGTACAAACAAGAATACCCATTCATGAAACTCTTTATAATTCATTTTTGTTTTCATTTGTCATACCTCCTTTGCTAGCTAGATCCTCGCAAGTGGTGTTTCTTTCCTTGCTTGATTCCTAGATAATACTTAAGATTTTTCCAATCGCTGTCTGTTCACAAATGATTTCCAACCAGACCTTTTAAGTAGTAGTCTGCTTCTGATGCTCACAAATTGTAATGACACGTTTGTCGTGCAGTACTTGATCACAGTGTTTTTCTATCCAATACATGTTCATAAAGGTCCACATTCTGATGCCTACCAACAATAAGGGTCCAGATTTTGCTGTCTTTCTTGGAGATTCACTCTTCACCACCGCGATTTTCGTTAAATATTGTGTTAGTGAATCGTCCTTCGGTGTTCACTGAAATGCAAAACAGCATTTCTTTATGGCCTTTTCTGGTATATATTTCTGCGACCTTTATGGATGTATATCCAGATACGTTTCTCAGCCGAAGTGCTTTTTCATCAGGTCCATTTGCTCCCTTTACTTTTGTTATTGGTACATATAGGTACAAAGTATTGGACAGAATTTGATAGTTTTATAAACAAAATTATAGCTTCTTTACTCCATGTCGAGCACCATACAATATCAAATCCTCCGATTAAACACCCTGTTAATGCCATATAGTTAATCTTGATTAGCTTGTTCTTTGTGACATTCTTGTTCAACAAATGCGCCGTTTGAAATCAAATTGTAAACTCTGAGATTGGTTCATCCTCTACTCCTACCAGGCAAAATATCTAAATACCCAGGATTATGAGGAAATAGATATCTGGGCTTTTCCTTTAACGTGAAGCAACAGTCATCCATATACTGATGTGCATATAATACATTGGTCTGCATCCAGTAGGAATTGAAACCATTCTTGAGTCGGGCACTTTTGAAACCATCTTCTACAATGGCCGACTGGAGTGCCACAAATCAGCTGTTAGTTCTAGCCAGATAGAAGCAACCAGCAGCAAACAGGGCATTTGACCTTTTTTCGACAGATGAGCAGAAGATGAACTGGGACAAATAAGTTTTCTCAATTATGTTAACAGCTATGTCATCACACGAAAGGATGAAAACAAATTTCAATGATGCACAGAATTCCTGCACTGAATTTGCATAGGTCAAATTTAACATCCTATACACCAGGTAAATTCTCTACCAGCTCACAAAATAATATAATTTTCCACCAGTCCCCATCTCACATTACAACATTTTCAATGTGTTGAAAGTATACTTCTTGATCAGCAGTTCAAATGCGCACAAAGTATTATCAAGCCTTTGGATAGAACACAAATTGCTACCTCAACAGGTATTACATGAAAACATCCTATTTGTTTCACCAGAAAACTCTGTCATTCAGGAACCTTGTGATTGCAGATTAGGCAAATTGGATACGGGGAAAAGTCAGAGCAGGTATCAACCTAGTCTTGCTTCTCTTTGTAGTACCTGAAAAGAATTAGGAAGGAAAAAAAAAATCCAAGAAAACAAGAAATGTTAGTCTGCTTTCAAAAGAGAGAATTTGAAACCAGGTAACAAAGTTGCTGGGTACGGACAACAGAAACTACTTTTGGCCTTACAACATGAAGAGACTATTGTCGTATTGAAAACAGTAGCTCTATGGCTGTTAGGCCAAACATTTTGCCAATGATTTAAGAAAATGCCGCTTATTAAAAAATGACCTGAGAAGCGCGTTCAGAAATTACCTCTTCAGCAAATTTTATCAAAATGGTTGTTCTAGGTCGTTGCTGCCCTTCCACAGGTACAAAATGTGCACTTACTACAGCTGGAAAACCTGCATTATCCAGGACTCCCTTCAAGATGAGGTAAGGCCCGTCAGAACGTCTAATGACACAAATATCACTTAAAAATCATATGTTAATTATGTGCGTACCCTCACTATTCCAGCAACAAATGCTCCGCAGTTGAAGGCACCCATATCTTTAGGTATTGAAATAAATCTAAAATGTAATAGTGCATGAGAGATGAAGACTATAGTTAACAAACCCTCTTTTCTGCCCAAAAACAAACTGAAAAAAAAGAAGGAAAAAAAAAAGGAAAAGAAAAATCTCGCTAGTTTCTGATTACAACATACATCATGAACACAGAAATTTCACCTGTTGACTAGGAGTTCTTTTTCACTGATCATGTATTCATCTTCATGCTCAGTTCCTTTTTCAAGTGAGTCTGCTACCTGATGTTAATACACAAAAGCCACACTGGTTATATATCATATGGTACCTGTTCCACAAATTTACAAGATTGAAAGTGCACATAATCAAATTAAGGGGCAGTGCATCACAGTCTAAAAAATGTATGCTTTATGCTGTTTTGAATGACATGGTCTTGAAAGCGTAATAATCATTTACATTATATAAGGTCCACAACAAGCAGCTTGCCAGCAGGCCTGGCACTAAACATATCAGGTTTGTGTGGATGGATATATAATATGGAATGGGATTGCTTGATAAATTATAGCATACATTGTTAAGGTAAAAAAGGAATGCTGAATAAAAGAGAGACATTTATCCAAAAAAGATTCTGGTACAGAAAAACTATTGTTGCTTAGGTACGAGGAATTCCTAATAACAAAAAAATGAGCCACATGCGTAAGAACTCAAAAGAGTATTCATTCCAGGGTGATTTCATCACAAGCAATAATCTCAAGAAGTGCAAGTACTTAATACATCAATCAGAAATGACAGACAAAGTGGATACATTTCATCAACTAAACAAAATTATATACCATCTGCAGCACAAGAAAATAAGTTACTCTATACCACCGATCACACTTCAGTTCCACATATTACTAAAGTGTCTCGTAAATGTTAGGGGAACACCAAACTCATAGAATCATGTTCTTTGAAAGGGTTATAGGTAAATTTTTGAATATCTGGGATACCAAAACAAGGTAATTTCTGTTAGTACTTTTTATTTAGGTCATAAACGTCACAGAAAATAATAATATAGTTATTCAAGGAAATAAAGGAGATGGCAGAGACTCAATATTTTAGCGAAAGTTTATATAATATTTAAAACTTTTCAAGGGTTGAAGGTAATTTAATGAGATTCAATAGTACAAAATTAAGATATAGTCCTAAAAATTCTACAACCATACAAATCAAAAATACTTAAAGAAATCTTGGGTTGACAAAAAATTTCAATTTTACATAGATCATTAAATTTTCATAAAAATAGCCTCAACAGTTTGTTTGACTCATAAATTCTAGTACCAGGTTCATTAAAGACTTGAAGGTGGGGAAAAAAATTATTGATTTTATGTTTTCAGGAAAATATATTAATGCAGATGCAATATTCCAGTTCTAAATGTCTGCATAAATCTAAAATGACAATTTCCTGTTCCTATAGGATTCTAAGTATACATAGAAATAATTAACAAGTATGTTGTTGTCCTCTTCCTTTTGGTACTTTTTGATGCTTCTCAATTGCCTTCTTCCATATTTTTTGTAGCATTTTGATGATGTTTGTTACAAGGGATATCTAATAACTAAAATCTGGATATCTAAAAAACCAAAATCTAGACTGAACTAATAAATCACAATGAGTGCTGAATTATTAACATGGTGAACTGTTCTGATAAGGCAAGATTTCAACCGCTGAATTTATCAAATATATCAATGAAAAAGTGTTTTGCTATCATAATTTGCAGAAGAAGACCTATGTAATATACTAAATGTGTCTAGTGTACGTTTTTGTGTGTACATATTTTATTCAAATTCTAAGTAGGTCATATTTTTTCAAGTGACATCACTTAGCCCATGTTTGGGTTCCATTAAAATGAGATTTTGGGGGAAATGTGTTTTGGAATAGTGACTTTTTTGGAGAATGTGTGGTTTTTTTTTTAATAAGGAAAAGTTTTGGGTTTACATATAATATTATTTTATGAGAAAATATGTGATTGAAAATGAGTTTTGGAAAAATGAAATGCTTAACTGAAGAATATATTTCGACAATACGTGTTGATTGGAGTTAGCAGATTCTCCTTCTCTCTCTTAATAAGTGGCCCACTGTGTTTAAGGAAGAAATTTTATCCACTCAAAATAGCATTCTACTACTATTGGGAGACAAAAACAAAAAGGGAATTCCCTACTAAGAGTTAAGTAGTTGGCGAACCTTTCCAAACAAGACCTTCCATACTGTGCTATGCACAAAGGACAAAATTCCCAAGAGTCGTGTCTCCCTTCTGTTACCCTAAAATATCAGAAAAATATCGCATAACAATATATCAATTCCGTGAGAGAAAAAGTAGTATGCAGAAACTAACATATTATGGTCTAAATTCTTGTAAGTGATGAAAAGTTTGTGGAGAGCAATGATATTACATTTCATTAGTTCAGTTGTTGAGGAACATCAAAAAAGGAGTCTGGTCGTCATGTCACTCAACAAATGAAAATCAGATTTCAAATTCATGGTGTTGATGGCGAATTCCTAAAGCAATGTCTGTCTCAGAATCTTTGTTTGAAGTTTAAAATTAGCAGCTTAATGCCTTAGTTTCAAAAGCAGTTACACTGCAGTTTTGTGTAATACTAAAAGAAAAGAGCACATTTAATAATCATGCAAGACATACACAATGGGGAAATATTTTCTTCTTTCAAGGTGAAAAACAACATATTATAATGTTTAAACTCTTGATGATCAATAATACACAAAGACACAGGTCTTATAAGCTACACCCCAAAACATTCATACAAAATAAGAGAAAAGTGACATCTTTTAATGAATAGTTCTAAAAGGGGAAAAAATAAAAAAATAAACCTTAAGAGTAACTATAATGTGAAAGCTACTTGCATGCACATAGTCAAGCTATTCAGAGTATCACAGTGCTTTATCCATGTATGTTATGCAGGCTAAATAATTCTTAACATTTCTGACTACAGTAACAGAAAATTGGTTCAATAGTAGACAAACTCGTGTGGAATAAAATATTTGATGTGATATAAAGCAAATAAGCACAAACATAAGTATAATCAAGAAATTCATTCAGTGACAACACTATGCTGCATATAAACATAATGAAAGCGAGACTATGATTGCAAGGAAGAAATTTTGACAAATCATATTGAGATGTGCTACAATTATGTTTCCCACCTTCTCCCTATGACAAAGAAGTTCCAGAATCCGGGTCCCAACAGCATAGCCTGCATCCTCTAACCTGATCAAGATCAAAAGAAAGTATCATATACTTAAGCCAAATTTTAAAATAAACTGATCCCATAAAAAGCCAGTGAACTTAATTATTTAGAAAATCCAAGAAAATCTCAAAACTTTCGGTAGCAATAACTTCTGCAGATATCATATTTGCTGAGAAAAAACTCTAGAGTTCTGGTCTCATCTTATAATTCTCTTTCTAACAACCAACATTCGAAATTTTAAATCACATCAACAGTGTCTAAATTACCAATCATCCTCAAGTACTATTTTTTAGCAAGAGGATTCTGAGCTTTACTTCCATGTAGCTCCTTTCACTGGGTTCCAGCCAAAAACTTTCTTTTACCACTTCGATAAAGCAAACAGCTTTATTTGTGATTTTTAAACCAGCTCAACAGATCATCGACAGTATCATTATCAGTAGCAGTGACATTCTCCAATTAAGTTCATTTCACAAAGATCTAGAATGACAATAATGTAACCAGTGTCGTATTTTGAAACTATTGATCAGAAATCACCTTCTTTCCAATTCTGCTATGTTGTCTACCTGAGTCTGATTATACTGAACGAGCTCCGAGAACAAGAATGCAAACCCACTCAGACTAACCTGCAAAAAGTACTCATATCATCATAGTAATCAAGAATACAAGTAAAAATGAAAACCCTTTCTGCATACGTCATTAAAAAATAGACTTACTCTTTGAAGAATTAATTTAAAATGAGAATCTGGCTTTCAATGCAGAAAAATTGAAATGGGTCCGTGACTTTTACCCGATCAAAATTTAAGAAAAACCCTTTTCAAAAATTTCAGTTTAAACCCAGCATATGGTCTTCAGTACGAAAGAAAAGAAGATTGAAATGGGTCTGCAACTTCACCCGATCAAAGAAATATTGAAATTCCCAACAATTAGCAGAACAAATTGTAAATCTTGAAATTTATCAAAAAGAAAAACTGATTAGAGATCTGAAGAATAAAAGTACCTCTTGTTTGCCTTTGCTGAGGGGTCGATCAAGAACATTAGTGTACTGCTTCATTTTCCCAGCTCCTATCATTTGCTCGATCGATTTACAGTTTTGATTACCAGTACGGGCAATTTTGTAGATTCTGGTGTGTGTGGAAAAATAAAGGCAAATTGTATATTTATCAATCATGCGGGTACAAGAAGGATTACATAACGATTTACTTAGCCGAATTTGACCCAAGTTATTGTAAAAATAAGAATAAAAAATATAATATATACCCCACATAAAAGATAAAAAAATCAAATATAAAAGTTTGATGTGATGGATAACGATCATATTTTTCATTTTAATGAAAAAGTAATGAGGCTCAAAGAAGGCGCAAAGTTTAAAATAAAGTAAACTTTTTCATCCAATCATTTTAATCCAACTCATCTTATGACGTAGCTTCTAGACGATTTCTTCCAATAAAGTAAATTAATTGTCAGGTATGTTCGGTAGTGATTATAAAATTATTTTTTGACCGTTAAAGAGAAAATTGGATTTCACCCGTGAATGATGGAGTAAAAATTGACGGTTGAAATAGTAAAATAACAATCAAAAAATTGATTTTTTTGGATGTGTTGTCAATTTTAAATCTCGCAAGTGTACGGATCGTAACAAGTATAAAGTGAACATTTTGAGTCAGGAGTATCATTTCCACGAGGAGTATTAAAGTAAACGAGGACTATACTTAATACTCAATTTATTATTTCTAACTTCTATTTGATAAAAAGAAACAAAAACAATGATTGATTATGATTTTGAATCTAACTACCTAACAATACGTGGATGCACACAAAGAATAATTGAGAATTCAAATAATAAATGGATAATATGGCGGAACAATTTTACCTATTGATCACTTTTAAATTTTAAATCAAGATTCATAAAATCTAATGTAGTGTTCAATCAAATTTTTCTATTGTATTCAATTTACCCCTCTCAAATTTTTATTGAATCAATTTAACTATTACAATTTCATATCTCTACGTGAATCAAATTTAGTTCAACGAAATAATAGTTCTGAAAATTCATTTATGACCGCAACAAATTAATATACACGTTATATTAATTTATTGGATTTTAATATGTGGTCTTAATAAAGAATCCGCATCTCCACGTAATTATTGTTCACGAAATCATTGAATAATTAACCAAAAAATTCAAAGCATTGAAAACGTAATTAAAATCCACACATATAATCATAACGAACAAGAATCTCAAAAAAAAAATAATAATAATAAAGAGTCACAAATAGGTACATTGTTCCCTAAAAGTTAAATTTAGTTATACATAGTATTGAAAGAAAAAAAAAGCACTTATTATGGGAGATATCACAGGGTTTTGAATAAGAGTATAAAATAAGAAACCAATCTTGCACCAAAATCTTCTTCTTCTTCCAATTTATGCTTCAAAGCTTGGATTGCTTAATGTTTTTCTCCCTTGAATCCCACTTTTCAATCTCTAATTGCATGTGTTTTCATCATAATGAGTAGATTCAATCCCTTGATCTTCTACCCTCTTGAATTCTCTCATTTCTCCAATGTTTCTGAGGTGTTTTCATTAATAAAAGGGGATCCCAATGTGTAAATCCCCCAATTGTCTTCTCTAAGTTGTATTTATGTCTTCTTTAAGCTTTGGAAGAGTTTTAGTTGAGTTGGACGTTTAAAAAGATGAATTTCACTTGAAAAATCCTATTTTGATAGTAGCGAAGTTCCTAGGCACTACAATCAGAAACATAACGCTTGAGCGTTGTCGTCAATTACAATTGCACTGCACAATATTTAATCTTTCTATCATAACTTTTTCTTCCGATATTCGATTGAAGCGATTCAAGATGCATTGGAAAGATAACTCAAAAGGCCACAACTTTTATTCAGATACCATTTTCAAATTCGATCATTTGCTATGTCAAAATGGGTCTCAATATGAGATTGAAAACGGTGCATAACTTTTTTCCGATTTGAACTTGATGTGCGATCATACTATAATTATATTTCATCCCTTTGATGTCTTTCATTATCCAATTGACTTCGAGCAGTCTTGAATCTTCATCGTGAGGTTCTACACAACTTTTGAGTATTTTCACTTTAGTCCATGAATTTTGGATCTCTTACAATTTAGCCATTTTTTTCAATTTTGCCAATTTTTGCTCATTTCTTTCAATTTCTTGTACCGTCATTGAATTTTACTTATTTAATATGCAATAATTTAGACCATAATTCATTCGAAAAGCAACTAAATATCATCGTTTTAAAACTCTGAATAAGTGTATAAAATACACTTATCAGGGTGAAAAATTGCTATCAAACGAGGGCTTGGTACGTGTTTGAGCCACATTATATTTGAAGTATGTATTTTGAAATGGTAGATTGATGAGAATATGTGGTTAAAAAATTAAAAAAAAATTGAATTTGCATGTAATATTATTTTATTGAAAAATGTGTTGTTGAAATAATGTCAAACTCATTGTTTAAGAATGTATTTTTTTTTTCCAAATAATGCGGCTCAAATAGGGCCTTAATTTATTAATGTTGGGACTTGGGAGTCAATCTTTGGGACAAGCATTAAGCCCTTGTTTGAGTCCCATTTAGGAAAAAATACATTTTTGAATAGTGTATTGATGAAAAATATGCGATTAAAAAATAAGGAAAACTTTAAATTTGCGTATAATATTATTTTATTAAAAAATGTGTGGTTGAAATGATGTCAAAACACTAATGAATAATGCAATTTTTCTTAAAAAAATCAGGCTCAAACAAGGCTCAACTCTTGATTGATGGCATCATTTTGTAAAAATAATATTTTACATAGAATTTTTTGAAGAATTTGTGGTTAAAAGGTGGGGAGAAATTTAGATTGATATTTAAAATATTGTATTGAGTGAATGTGCAATTAAAAATGACTATAAAAAATAAATTATTTTATTTTAAAGGATGTCAAGCATGGGCTAAATACGATGCTAAATAGCATTTTAGAGAGATGTAACTCCTTTATAGAAAGAAAACAAATACTAAATGAGAAAACAACAAACAGCCTTGCTAGGTTGCCGAGCTGAGTTTGAAACTCTCCCAGATTACCTGCTCACAATAGGGGATGGAGGGATAATTTTTGGTCTTTTTTAATTCATATGGGTCCTATGTGGATCCAAGCACATGGGAGAGGATGTCAACCTCCATGTCAAACATTTTCTGGAAACCTAGTTTAGGCCCCATTTGAGCTCTATTAAGTTTTTTTATAATGTATTATGAAATAGTAAATTGATGGAAAATGTATGTTTAAAAAAGAAAGAAATTTTTTTGATTTAGACGTAATATTATTTTAATAAAGAATATATAGTTGAAAATGATTATTGTAGGAAAAATAAAGGGAAAGAATAGAAAATTTGAGCCACATTCTTTTCATATGAATAAAATTTTGAATAGTGCATTGATGAAAAATGTGTGGTTTAAAAATAAGAAAAAATTTGGACTTACGTTTAATATTATTTTATTGAAGAATATGTAATTGAAATGATATCAAAACACTGTTTAAGAATGCGTTTTTTTTTTAAAAAAATTTCAAAAAATGAGACTCAAACTAATTCAACAACAAATTGTTACAACTTATTTTTAGGGTTTGCACTTTGCACCTTGAGGATTAATGAAACCCTAGTATATAAACTTGGTACTAGGATATGCCACTAACTTGTAAGTCATGTGACTCTTGAGGGGCAAATTTGTTACTATATTTTAATATTTACTTTTTTTTTTTTATGATGGAGGAACCCGCAGTCACTACCCTTCGGGTACGTACTGAATAATTAATATTTACTTTTCTAAAGAATAAGTTTAACTTTATTTTTGAAAATGTAAATTACTTGCTATAATTTTGTTCTTCTATGCAATTGCAATTTATTTCTTGACATATATAGGAATCTCGTTCAAACAAAGAATTAGAATATATTTTTAACTCGTTCCTTTAATGAAAAAGCACTCTTTGCATTGTCCTTTTATGAAAAAAGTTGGTTCATCGAATTCAATTTCTTATTTATTTATATGTCTCGCATGTGATGGGGGGAAGGAAACCCCTTTCATCAACTTGATACTTTGTTCGATGTGCTTTAAATGTGATTAGGCACCAAAAGAGAGGTCACGTTGACTAAAGTTATATTCCTTATACGATTAGTAGGTGCAACAACAATTATAAAATGATGAAGTTAGAGCATTTATATACGATGATCGCCAAGTGATACACACAAGAAGGCAATGTTTTAGAATCAAAGAAAAATGATATGAATAAGAGCGCCACAAATAAGAAGAGGCATAAACGATAACCCCAAAATAAAATGTAAAAAGCTTTACCTAGTCCAATACAACATGTGATTTTCGCTATATGGAAGCAATTTAGTTATTTCCCTTTGCAAACCACGAGATTGGAAGTTCTCTAATTGTAACTACAAAATCAATATATTTTGAGGAAAATCTTTATAATTTGAAAAAGTATAGGCATGGGAGACTAGAAGAACTATCTATGTAACTGCGAGGTTGATCATTACACTACCAACTATAAGTAGCTTAGAGAAGAGGTGGAAACCACATTACGATACCACATGCTCGTAGGAGAAAATCACATGATCTTGAAGTCCCCATATCAATGAAGAATTTTATTGTGCCCACTAGAATTATGTTGAGGATGCAAAAGAGCAACCAATGATGATCATAGATAAGAAACAAAAAACGATCCCAAAGGGTACCCGAGTTAAAATATGAAGTTCTATTATACGAGGCGTGTTACTTTACATCCTCAACAAAACATATCTAAGAGACTTACTTCATTATCGAGGAGATACCAGCTTGTGCCGATGAATTTTGTGGATGAAAACTCGAGATTCAACTGGATTTTCATATTGATAAAAAACCATACGTTTGACCTCAAGAAATCAGGAGTTAATTGTCTAAAACTTGTCAACTCGATATTTGTAAATTGTAAACCACCTCAATGGGACAATATAAGTCTAAGTCACTACAATGTTGGCAATAAGCATGAAAGTTGTTACACCCTCTACCCTACACTGAGCCACATATAGACCATGTAGGTACACTTGTCCATGTCAACGAAAAGAAAAAGAAGGGCACTTTACACCTTTGACAACCCCATGGGTT